AAAAAACAAAAAAAACGGGCAAAAAGTTTAACCCCCCCCCCCCCCCAAACCCAAAAACCAACCCACTGAATAGACATTAAATGCTTCAGTTCTGAGGACTGAGTCTGCTTGCTTTAATGCGGTCTGATGGGTTTTCTTGGTACATTGCTATAGAGAGGTCTGTTCTGAATAAAGCTTTTGTTCATTTTGGGACTGTATATGCTAAGCTTCTTCAGCCTAATTTTAAATAGTAAGTAGATCTGTGAATGGAAATTGTGAATACTTTATTATGTGATCCCTGTCAGCTTTGAGTTTACTTTGTCATCGGCGTGTCTCCAATCCAACCTTTCTAATATGGTTTGAGTTTACGCTGCTGATGGTAATGTATGAGTGCGTATAGCTTTTCCATTCCATACCCTTCAGAGCAGTGGTTCTCAACCTTTTTTGTACCAGGACCCATTTGTAAACACCGATGGCCAGTCCTGACCCAGTAAATAGTTTAAGTAGAAAACAGCCCCCAAGCCCTGCCAGTCCTCTCATTCCCAAATCACAGGCCCCCATCCCTCACTCCTGATCCACTGCCCCCTGCCCCCCAGTATGTGTGGGGTAGGGGTGGATGTATGTTTAGGGGGAGTTGGGCATGGGGACGGACACATATGCACCCACAGGGGGCACGGGGGCTGCAGTCTGGCTGGGCCAGCACAGGCAGGAGTAGCCTCCATGGCCCAGTGGACAGGACTCGGTGCGGGAAGGCAAAGAGGGACAGCAAGATTCATGGCTGCGCTGCCATCACCTTCTCCTCCTGCCAGGTGCTCACGCGCCAGGCCACAGCTCTATCCCACCACCATGGTCCCCCACCATGCCCCACAGAGGAGCAGGGCACTGCAGGAGCTGATCTTCACGCTGCCCGGTTGCCACATGCATCTGCGTGTGTGCACATGCACGTGGCACCCTCTGCCTGATCGCCCTCCCCCCAGCCCCAAGCAGCCCCTTGCAGGCTGCAACTCTTCCAATCTGCAAGGGGAAACCTACCATTTCCCACATTTTTCTCCTTTAAGGGAGAATCCATTTTTAAAAGTTGTTCACAACCCTTTCATATATTCTTGCCACCCACTTTTGGGTCATGACCCATAGGTTGAGAAATGCTACTTTAGAGGAATCCTCCCTCATTATTTTTAGTCCCTTGTAGATAAAGAAACACATACAAAAAGAAAGTTAGTTACAGCATTCCGATAACTTTTTAAAACCATAAATTAATCAAAATATACTGTCAACTTTAGCTCCATCTCAATGTTTTTTTCTAGATTATGGACATAGAAAGGGATGAGTACCACCCCATTTTCATAACTGA